TCTCCCCCTTTCTATGCCCCCCTCTTTTACCAGACTCTATGGTGTTTCTTAGTGCTCCTTACTTGAAATATGTCCACTCAGGTATATTTCTCTTGTTTTTCCAAGCTGGTTATGCAGCATTTTAGCTGTAAATCCAGTCCATGGCTGGAAGCAAGGGCACTCTGCTTCTTGTCAGAGTGCCACCATCTTCCTTCCTGGCTCTCATTTATTCATTCTATAGTCATTTAATGTTAATTGAACGCCAGTAGGTGCCATCTGGAAATCTTGCCTCTATTTGCTACCAGGAGGAGTATGTCAGAAATTGCCTTTTATTTCCTTATAAACAGTAAAGATTATAGAATAGATTGTCTTTTATCTCTTTCCCTTAGCCGTACATCTATTCAGGGCTCAATATAGAGTTTAGTGGGGATACACAGCATATGATTATGGTTATTTTGTGTTTTTCTTGATCCTGATTTGTTATTGCTGTAATACTTCCCATTGCTATTTTAAGTTACATCAAATCCACTGTACAAAAGATGGGGAATATAGATTTGTTTACTTTGGAGAGAGTTCAATAGTAAATGTAAATCCATCAACAATTAAATTCTAAAAAAATGTGTATTTGTATAGTCATATTCTCTAATCCTGTAAACGTGGATCAAAACACATGTACCACAATTATAGGTTGGTATCTATGTATGTAACTATTGTACCAAATGTAAAACAGGGCATAAAATGTGAGAACCTATACTTTCAAAGTTACAAAATATAATCTCACTTACATTCAACATTTTCTGGAAATTTTCTGTGAATATCTTTATAAGTATCTAATGCTTTTTGGTAGTTACCTACAAATAAAAAAAGAGAAAGAAGCACACTAGCAGATTATATAAATTAATAGGATTCAGCAAAACATTAATTTTAATCTAATATACTGGTACCACTTAATTGGTTTAGCAGGAAGACTTTCTTTCATGTTTGCCTCAAGCATGTGTAACAGTTCTTAACATAGCTAATGGAAGAAAATGCATAGAAAAAAAAAAATTTGAAAAGGGTTAGAGGAGAAGAAAATTATGGTTAAAACTTAGTTCCACTTCTTAAAATAAATGTTAGTGGTACAAATTAAGATCCATTCAGTTTCCTAAAAATTAAAGATTATTTTAAGTGAATTGAAAATTTAAAAGAATTTCTGTGATAGACTAATAATTTTGTCATTCACTTAGTTGGAAAAGATGAAACATAATTTTTTTTGTAATTATCACTGAAACATTTAAATGTTTATAGGAAACATTTTGTTTTATAATAAAATAATTGAACTTCATGCAGCAGCAAAGAATAGAAAAAATGAATTTTGGGTCAAAGGTCTTGGTGAAACCTCAGTGAATGAGCTAAGAATCTCTGGGCGACAGGGCTCAAGAGGGATGTCTGCGCTAACCTCAAAGAGTTGCTGTGAGAATTAAATCAAAGAGAGGAAGCATCTAACTCACAGCAGTTTCTCCGTAAATGTTAGTTTCTCTTCCAACCCACTGATCCATAACTCAAGAAGGTTTATGTCTTTAAATTATTCAGAATACCCCATATACGTACACTCTACATATGACTGATATGGAAATAAACAGAGGCAATCAGAACTCAGATGAGATAAAGTGTATACAGTGCAGTTATGCTGTATGTTATTTGACAGGAGACACAGTCATATTAACGATCAACCCTCACAATGACTTGAAGACAACCCAGAGCAGATATTTTGATGCCACTCTGAAGGAGCTCAGATAGGGTCTGTCAAGAAAGAAGCTACAGAACTGGGCAAGAGCACCCTGTTAACACTTTGACAAAACAAATGCTTCCCTGAGATTGAGGAGTTTCTTTTCCTGGGTCATTTGTATGCTTTACAAGAGGGATCATACATTTGTTAATGTTTGTCTCCTGCTCAATCTCTGAATTTTAACATCATTCACTTCAGTTCAAAACTATTAACATCGCTACCCTTCAGGACAGGGGTCAACAGCACAGGACCTAATAAAGCAGTTATTGAAAACACAAGTAACATCTCGTATAAAAATATAGCCCCAGTGTTCTATACCCGGGACTTCCTCAGGCTTGGAGATAGAGATAGTCTCATTAATGTGGCCACACACATAGGACATTAAGAATTATGTGACAGCCCGGCTGGGCTTGGCTCAGCAGTTGAGCGTCGACCTAGGATCCAGGTGATCAGGGTTCGATGCCCGGTCAGGGCACATGCCCAGTTGCGGGCTCGATCAATGACTCTCATCATTGATGTTTCTGTCTCTCTCCCTCCCACTCCTTTCCTCTCTCTGTAATCAATAAAGATATATTTAAAAAAAAAAAAAAAGAATTATGTGACAGAAAATGAAATATAAATTGATGTGTACAGAATGCCTGTTTTTCTGTGGCTAACTGGTAAAAATGATTACATATTAACTTTGAGAGATAAATCTGTTTCTAACAGTGGGGTTGGGACACATAACTAAGACCTACTTTAAAAAATTTTTAAATTTATCTTTATTGTTGAATGTATTACAGGTGTCCCATTTCCCCCCACAATTGACCCCTTCCACTTCGCTCCCACCCCCTCCCCAGGCCTTCACCTCATTATTGACTGTGTCCATGGGTTATGCATATATGCATATAACTTCTTTGGTTAATCTCTTCCACTCTCCACCCCCCTTATCTCTTTCCTCTGAAACACGATTGTCTGTTGCATGTGTCAATGTCTCTGGATCTATTTAGTTCATCAGATTCTTTTGTTCATTAGCTTTTTCTTAAAGAAGACCCTTCAACATTTCATGTAGTGCTGGTCTGTCTGGTGGTGATGAACTCCTTTAGCTTTTTCTTATCTGTGAAGCTCTTTATCTGATCTTCAGTTCTAAATGATAGCTTTGCAGGGCAGAGCAATCTTGGTTATAGTTCCATGTTTTTCATCACTTTGAATATTTCTTGCCACTCCTTCTGGCCTGTAAAGTTTCTGTTGAGAAATCAGCTGACAATCGTATGGGTGCTCCCTTGTATGTAATTAACTGCTTTTCTCTGGCTGCTTTTAAGATTCTCTTTGTCTTTAACCTTTGGCATTTCAATTATGATGTCTTGGTGTGGCCCTCTTTGTGTTCCTCTAGTTTGGGGCTCTCTGTGCTTCCTGGGCTTGTAAGTCGATTTCTTTCACCAGGTAGGGCAAGTTTTCTGTAATTATTTTTTCAAATAGGTTTTNTAAGATTCTCTCTTTGTCTTTAACCTTTGGCATTTTAATTATGATGTGTCTTGCTGTGGGCCTCTTTGGGTTCCTCTTGTTTGGGACCCTCTGTGCTTCCTGGACTTGTAAGTCTATTTCTTTCCCCAGGTAGGGGAAGTTTTCTGTAATTATTCTTTTAAATAGGTTTTCAATTTCTTGCTCTCTTTCTTCCCCTTCTGTTACCCCAGTAATACAAATATTGGCCCTCTTGAAGTTGTCCCAGAGGCTCCTTATACTATCTCCATATTTCTGGATTCTTCTTTCTGCTTTTCTGGTTGAGTGTTTTTTGTTTCCTCATGTTCCAAATTGCTGATTTGATTCTCAGCATCCTCTACTCTACTGTTGATGCTCTGTAAATTATTCTTCATTTCAGTTTATGTGGCCTTCATTTCAAATTGGTACTTTATTATGTCATCGATTTTCTCAGTTGTTTTCATAATACTCTTACTAATATGCTTGAGCATCCTTATAAACAAAATTCTGAACTCTGTATCTGTTAGCTTGCTTGGTCTATTTCATTTAGTTCCTTTTCTAGAGATTTCTTCNCATGTTTCTTTGCCTCCACATTTTGGCTGCTTCCAGCTGTTTGTTTCTATGTATTAGGTATGACTCTGGAATTTGTAGAGTGGCTTTGTGTAGTAGGTGTCCTGTAAGGTCCAGTGGCTCAGCCTCCCCAGTCACCTGAGCTGGGCCTTCTAGGTGCTCCCCTGTGTGGGCTGTGTGCACTGTCCTGTTGTAGTTGAGCCTTGGTTGCTGTTGGCGTCACTGGGAGGAACTGACCCCCAGGCCAATCGGCTGTGAGGACGAGCTGCAACTACAGCCAAAGAGCTGTTGTGCTGGAGACACCCCTATGGAGCAGGATTTACTTCAGTGGAGCTTTGGTGTTCACCAAGTGCATCCCTTGAGTGTGTCACCTGTGGATGTGGTAGGGTTGTAATCCAACATGGTCGAGTCTGACTACAAGGTGCACTGTCTCTGGGGCCTCCTGGGAGGTGCAAAGTCAGCCTCTGCCTGTGCCTTGCCCAGGGCCACCCAGCATGAGCTACATAGCAAACCACAGTTGGCTGCCACTTGTGCTGGGCTTGGCATTGTCCAGGAGAGACCTAGCTGTGAGCCAATGCAGGCTGCCACTAGTGCCAGGCCTGGGGCCACTTATCAAGCCATATAGGGCACACGACTGCTTGTTTGAGAGATTTTAGGAAAGTCTTAAGCATAAACTCGAGACACCACTTCCACAGAAAAGCTACTGGAAATGGCTTGGATGAGCTTGCAGGTAGGGAGGGGCGGGGCCTCTGGGAATCACCAGGGTGGGGCCAAAGGTGTGAGTCAGGTGCTGGAGATTCAAATATGGTGACTGCCTGCTGGTTCTGTGCAGGGAGGGCTTGCCAAAGAGGCAATGGCCTCTGTCAGCTCTTCTGCCTGGGAGATAACTGCCCCTCCAGCTCTTGCCCGAAATCTGGCAGGTTAGTTCCTCCCCAAGTTGTCTCAGGTTCCTTTCAAGCTGCTGCTGGGCACTGGAGCTCAGAGGGAGTGTGTCTGGGTGAGTTCATGCACGGGCCCTCTAATAGGAGCTGCCTTGGACTCCCGCTCCCTCCATGACCCTCAGCAACAGTCCCCACTGGTTTTCACAGCCCGAAGTTGTGGGACTTCTATTCCCTGCCCTGGAGCCCTGGGCTGGGGGCCTGATGTGGGGCTGAAACTCCTCACTCCTCCGGGAAACCTCCACTGCCGAGATACCCCTCCCGGGCTTAAACCGCAGCACCGGGTGTGGGCCTGCGGCCGCATCTCCATGATCCAGTCCCAATCCACCCCCGAGCCACCCGAGTCTCTGCCCCTCCTACCCGTCTCGATGCCTCTTCAGTTCCCTGGTTGTAGGGCTTCTGTTCAGCCAGATTTCAGGAGGTTCTGAGTGATGGTGCGTCTGTATTTTAGCTGTAATTTTGCTGTGGTTGTGGGAGGCGGTGGGTATAGCTGTTACCTACGCCGCCATCTTGTTTCCTCCTTCAAGACCTACTTTTAAAGTGTAACTTTTTTCTGTCTGTAGTAATTATTATGTTTTTCATATAATGCTTCAAATATGTGTAGTTATGAAAAGTTAATGCTTTAATAAACAAAAATGCAATTGGAACACATTTTATGCATAATTACCTATAAGACAGAAACAGCAAAATATATGAAAAATCAATAAAAATAAAAGCATTTACCACTTCTTCTAAAACAACTAGCTACCATCAGCTGCCATTTCACCTGTGTTGGCCTATAAGAGAAATAAATGATATGAAATTAGAGAGGAAACAAAAATAATCTGAGATGGTCAAACAGATTTATAAAGCCACAGATCTGTACTATCTTTCAATTATTTTTTGACTTTTGATTAGATCTTTATTATTGAAAATAGCATATACTATATACAACTTCATTATTGCCTGTCATATTTATATTAGTAAATTTAAATTTAAGAGGCCTTCAATCTAGTTTATGCCTTTACTTAGAAATTTTTATGAGAACCATTAACTTGTTTGGTTGAAGACCACTGCATTCTACTTTAAACATTATTATTACTTTTGCCATAATCTTATACTTACGCTTGGAAATTTAATACCTACAAGGCAATTTTTGACTTTGTATTTGAACAATTAGGTTTCAACTAAAGAGAGAATAAAAAAGAATTCTATTCATCCCCTCCCCCTTTCCCTTAAAAAATGATTTTCTAAAATAAATAACCAGCCCTGGCCAGTTTGGTTCAGTGGTTAGAGCAACTGAAGGGTCCCAGGTTCAATTCTGGCCAAGGGCACGTACTTCATTTGCAGGCTCAATTCCTGGTCCCTGGTCGGGGCGCATGTGGAAGGCAACCAATTGATGTGTTTCTCTCATGTCAATGTTTCTCTTTCTCTCTCCTTTCCACTCTCTCTGAAAAGCAATAGAAAAAATATCCTCAGGTGAGGATTTTAAAAAAACAAAAACAAACCATATTATTTTCCTCCTTAAAACCCATCACTTCTTCTTCAACTGCATGATAATCCAAGATCCCACTCCCATTTACCCACTTTTTGTAGTTTTCTGCCTTTCCATGTGTCTTTCACCATGCTATGCTACCACAAATTCAGACAGGAATACAGAGTATGTGCATGCTACATGTCTACACTCTGGGTCTCAGCACAGGACAGCCACTCCACATTGAGTCTTCTGCTGACCTCGTAACACTTTGCCATTCAGGCTGGGTGAGACTGTTCCATGGACTTGCTCAACACTACAGTTTCTTTCATACTGCACTTACTATACTGCAGTGTTACTTAGGTTTCTGAACCTTATTAATCCATAAACTTCTGAGGGCAGTATAGCCTTTGTATATGAAGGACCAGACATGACCACCCAGTGACACATACTGGGTGTCACTATTCACTTAAGTTCTCCTCCTTTGCATATTCTATTATACATTTTGACTGCTGCCTTCAAGGTCAGGATTGTGAATTTTAATTTGGTAATGTATTAATTCCATGACATGTAAGTTATCCATGTTTCCTCATCTATAAAATGGAGATAGTAATAGTACCTATTAAAAGGGTTGTTGTAAGAATTAAGTAACACAAGGTATGTAAACCATAAACATTACTTATTATTATAACCACTTTTTTTTTCTTAAAGAAAATCTTATTTTGTGAATGCTACCTATTGGGAAATTCACACAATAGCAGCTAGACCAGTTGTTAAGTAGTGTGTGTGCATGTGAGTGCACCCTTATGGGGAAAATGGATCAATCTTTCCAACCACTAACGTAGCATGATGAGAGGAAGAATATAGCTCAGTAACTTCAGGGTAAGAAAGTGCTAGATGACACTCTGGATTATTAATTCTAGTTGCTCATAACTACAGGTGATCTGTTAATTCCATTAGCACAGATGATTGGGCACTGAGGTCACCTGTGTGACCATCAATAGATTTTATGCTTTAAGCTGCCATGTCTCATAAAGGTAACAAAGGAGTAACTTAGGACATGAGATAAATGTATTTTATTCATCTCCACCATTAACCTGCACGTTCCTGCTATTACTTTTGTAATTGAGGAAGCCAGGTGCTTATTAATCTAGGACAGGCATGCTCTGCAGTAAAAGAGGCTAACTGTTTTCGCTTGTCTCTTTTATTTGTTTTACATTAGAACCTAGTTTAGGAATAACAAACTAAGTTCATTTCTTGAATGAATGCCTACTTTTCTCCTCCGTCCTTATAGTAAAGAAAAATTTACAGAGAGCATAGGTAAGACATATTAAATAATGCACCAAAAAATTCCAGCAAATTGGTTATAAATTGCCTAGCACAGTATAATAAATACAGAGGAGTGCTAAAGGCTTTAAGTATTTTAAATCTGCAATGACTTGACTTTAAGTTAGAAAATGATGGAATTTTAGAAACAGAATTGGCCTCAGGTAGCATTTCATTCTATCCATTTATCTTAAAGAAACAAACAGATCAGGCAAGGGTAAGAGCTATGTCTAAGGCCACTCCCCCAAAAGTATGTACCAGTATAAAAATCCCATATTAACCCCTAGTTTCACACTTACACAAGGCAATGAGATGCAGTTTGAAAACTACCACCAGAAAGAATTATCTCTGTGTTTGGAATAAATAAGTAACACGTAAGAGTCACAACTTTGTGTTAAGATGGAAGAGTAAAGATCTTTTATGTAGCAATGTCTCTCCTGGAATTAACCCCGAAAAACAAGAAGGAGAAGGGAAGACTCAAGCTCCATCTCAGAAGAAATTCAAATGGTATAAAGACACAAACAAATGATGGGTGATGGATGAAGGAGATGGAGACTGCCTTCAACAGGGAGGAGAAAGCTAAAGCTCGAGGGTGTGCAAAGGGCATATAAAGAGAAGCAGGAGATGTTCTCCGAAAATCTCCAGAAATGCTGAACTGGAATCAGCAGAACTGAAAAGGGAGGACAAAGTGTGGAACTGCAACAGGAAGACAGATGAGCACTGTGACTGGGAAGCAGCTGGCCCCCACGCTCTAGGAGTTCATCAGGGAGGCTGTGGCCAGGGCCCAGGCTGGTCTGAGGTGAGAAATGAAAATGGGAGGATATAGTGAGAAGTCCTCTTGGGAGCAGTGAGGCTCAGTCCTGGCCTCTTTCAGCTACCAAGATGACATCAGCAAGGCTGACACTTTTCCTTGAACACACCAAATGGCCCCAGAGAAAAGACCCTAGAGTTTTAAGATGACATTTCAGTGACAAAGCCATATGATTAACATGTTCTATTCTAGTGCAGTGTTTGGTGGAAGGTGCTGTTGGCATTTAGGGTGACACTCACTGTTCATTATGCAAACCCTCTACACATTACTGAGTGTTAAGCATCCTGGGCAGCTGCCCACCTCATAGCCAGTGTGTGTCCCCATCACCATGACCATAAAATGCTCCCCACCCCCACATTTCCAAATGGCACCATTGGGGTGGGGCAGTATTGCCTTTCTGGCTTGAATTGTCTTTTATTACTTTTAAACCTTTTATTCTGAAGTACAATACACGAAAAACTATACAAAACATAACTGTATAGCGCCGTAAATTGTCACAAAGTGAACATGCATGTAAATGCTCTGCCTTTCAAGAAACAGGACACAGAAAGAGAAGATGGTGGCACTCTGACAAGAAGCAGAGTGCCCTTGCTTCCAGCCATGGACTGGATTTACAGCTAAAATGCTGCATAACCAGCTTGGAAAAACAAGAGAAATATACCTGAGTGGACATATTTCAAGTAAGGAGCACTAAGAAACACCATAGAGTCTGGTAAAAGAGGGGGGCATAGAAAGGGGGAGACCCCCTGAAGCCAGTGCTAGCCTGCGAGGCCTGAGGGTTAGAGGCTGGACTGGCTCCTCAAAGCCAGAGCCGAGGAGAAGGGAAGGAGAGCCGTGCACCGCAGGCAGAGGGAACCGGGGTAACAGTGTGCCTGCAAAGAAGGGACTGCACCTTCCCAGTGAAACAATGCGCCTAATGGCGGCAGCTGGGGCAGGGGACTTTCACCTGGGGTGCTGCCCGCAGGAAAGGCTGTCTGGCAGTGTGTGGCTTCTGAATAGAAAGGAGCCAGAGGGCTGCAGTCCCCAGCCACCTACAGGGACACTGCTTTCCTGTAAGGCACTGTGTAGAACCCCAGAAAGCGTTTGAACTGTGTGGCATGGGGAAGGGGAAGAGAGCCTTCCCGCTGCCAGAGGGGGATCAGAGCCACTAACAGGGCCGATTGGAACTCCAGCTACTGAAGCTGCCGGTGGGGAGGATTGGGTCTCTGGCTGCCAGTGGGGTGGATCGAGACTCCAGTTGCCAGAGCTGCCAGTGGGGTGAATCAGAGATTTTGACTTGCTCTGAGGGGAGCCAGGATAGCGCACAAGGAGCTGCGTCAGCTTCACTGAGATCAGCTGTGCAGGGGACCTGTGTGGGGCTGACTTTGTGCCCCCTCATGCTTGGTTCCCAGGCGTCAGAGCCCCAGGACCTTGCAGGGAGGGTTCTCAGCCTGTTTGTTGCTTTATGCGTTTTTGATTGCTGAACAGGCGTCCACCTTCCTGGCTTGCATTGGGGAGATAGACCAGCAAAAGCTGGGATTTGTGTCTGCATTGTGGAGAGTTTGAACTGAGAGCCCTGTGAGATCTGCCAACCAGAAGTGGGAAAGGAGGGGCGGAGCAGGCTAAGAGCACCATCCCCAATAGGAAAGAGGCTGGTTCAGTTCACTGAAGCCCCAGATATCCCCCACAAGGCACAGTCCTGAGGGGGAAGGGAAAACAGCTCACAGAATGGCAATACAAGAATAAGACTCTCAGGGACTATTGTTTGGGAACTGGAGGAAAACCTTAAAACCCCTCCTGGGGACTGGGCAGGCAAAGTGCTCACCAGAGTCTTTTTTAATCAAACCCACTGAGCCCAGGCTGCTGAAACTGCCCATACAGAAAAGGCAACAGACTGAATGCAACCTGAACCTGCAGCAGGTCATTGTATGGAGAACTAGAATTGGACGACAGGGTAGAGACTAAGGAGCTGGCTTTGAAGCAGAGGCTAACTTCCCCATAGTGAACGCCTGACTGCAAAACCACTAAGTAAGGGGAGTGATATCCCGATCTACAGTAGCCAGCCCGCACCCTAAAGACTCTTCAAAAGACTCTGGAGTAAGACCAGGCAACCACAAGAGGAAGGCAAAATAGCTGACAGGTAGGTGGAGGTGGTCCACAGAGAGCCTTAGACCAGCCAACTACCTAAGGACACCAAAGCCAAACAG